GCTCCCCCCTCCTGTCAGGCAGTTGTAGGCAGCGATAAGGTCTCCCCTCAGCCTCCTCTTCTCCAGGCTCAACACCCCCAGCTCCCCCAGGCGCTCCCCAGCAGCCTGGGGCTCCACACCCCTCCCCACCTTCCTTGCCCTTCTCTGGACACGCTCCAGCCCCTCCAGGTCCTTCTGGGAGTCAGGGGCCCAACCCTGAACCCAGCATTCCAGGGGCGGCCTCACCAGTGCCCAGCACAGGGGCACGGTCACTGCCCTGCTCCTGCTGGCCACACCAGTCCTGATACAAGCCAGGATGCTGCTGGCCCTCCTGGCCACCTGGGCACACTGCTGGCTCATATTCAGCTGCCTGTCGACCAACACCCCCAGGTCCTTTTTGGCCGGGAAGCTTCCCAGCCACTCTTCACCACACCTGTAGTATTGTGTTGGGTTGTTGTGACCGAATTCATCAGCATGATCAAAGTATCTTATTTACACAGGTCATTTAGTTAATTGCTCCCACCGTTTTTGAAAGCTACGATCACAAAGCAGTCATTTACCTTCTGGTCGCTCCCTGTTTATATTCTCTGCGTCGTTTCCTCCTGCAGGAGTCATTTCTGTGGTGCTAAATTGATACCTTCCAGCACTCGTAACTGGCAAACTCCGGGTGAACACGTATTGCTCCGGCCGCATTTCTTCAGCCCTGACTTTGTCCTGGGGAACAGGATTGTCTCCTGGAATTGTAACTTTACCGGGAGAAGAAGCAATAGGAGCCTGCTCAGGGGTGTTGCACTGAGTTGCGCTCTCCATGACATGACCGTCAGACATTCTCACGTGCTGAAAATCATACCTCTTGGAGCTCACCACATCCCATTCCTTTACCAGGGAAATTAATTTCTGGACATGACTTGCTGAGTCTTTACTTTCTACTTTCTTTGTTAAACTGCTTCTCACCCCTTTCTTCCTTGGGGGGCTCACCAGATGTTTGTAAAAGCTGGAGTTTACCAGGCTGTCCCGGGACGCATTGTGTCCTCCAAGCATATTCCTCCGCTTTGTCCCCTTCCCCTGTGAAATCATTCTGGAACACTTTGTCTTCTCCCCCTTGGGATCTTGCTTTCCCTTCAGAGCCTTTATATTCCTCCATGTGTGAATACAGCATTTACTGGAATCCACAGCTGTACACAAGAACACCTAAAAATACAATGAAAAGTTATTGCTGATGGATACAGAATGAAGTGTAAGTTTTGCCCCTCCTAATAAGTGATGTATTTTATTCATTATAATACAAGCATTTAAGGATTGCGTTCTTAATCCTGGAAAATGCGTTCTCACTTCGGGGGGGGGAGGAATACAGCACCTTAAGGCTCTCCAAACTGTGCCCCGGTAACCCAGCGCTGACATTACCCTGGCCTGAATCACCTTGATCCCTATCACCGAATCGTGCTAAAGCTGAACAGGCTGTCCACGGGGGTGCGGAGTCTCCTTCTCTGGAGATATTCAAACCCCGCCTGGACAATGTCCTGTGTACCCTGCTCTGGGTGAGCCTGCTTGAGCAGGGGGGTTGGGCTGGGTGATCTCCAGAGGGCCCTGCCAGCCCCTGCCATACTGGGATTCTGTGATAGCCACTGGAGCAGCTGAGGCACACAGGCAAGCACCTCAGCATCCCCACTACTGCTGCAACGGAGATAATTTCAATTCTCTATGCTGACAGCAGCACATTCTGTACGTGAAAGATCATCTGGCAAGCTAAAGGGAGATGTGCAACCACTCCACTGCATCAACACTGGCATTAAGCTACAGGGTGGAGCAGTTTGAGAGCAGCATGTAAATGCTACTGAGGCAGCACCTGCCTCTCACCTTTAATAGACTGAAGGCAACTCTCAGCTGCTGGCGGCCAACCACAGAGTAAAAGCATTCAAAGACTTGAACAGAAAGTCCTTTTCCCCCTTCCACTGACTTCAAAGACAATAAAGTTTCTGCAGGATGCTGTATTGCCTGGGTGCGCTGCTTCAGCTCCCATCTTTACCCTCCAGATCTGGCTCCTGGGTCCTCCTGCCTCAGAGGGGCAGAACCCGGATCTCCTGCGACCCAACAAAGCGCCCCCATTCCCAAGCCACACTGCATGAAAACGCTTCCCACCCTTGGGGACTCCCTAAGCAACCAGGAATGTGAATTGCCAGAGCAAAAGCAGAACCAAAAAGCGTGTAGGCTGGAGGGGTTCAGGTCAAGCTGAGACAGACCAGAGGATCTTGAGCTTACACTGTGGACTGTACGGCTTTACAGCGTAGGCCATTGGATGAAAACAGAACTAAAAGCCCAGCACTCAGGCAGAGCTAAAGCACCCTGCCTCGACTCTGCTGGGGAATTGGGTGTGGATTGCCGCCTGAACAAGCTCTTTCTAGAAGGAGCTCTCATGGTTGTAGGGCATGCGAACAGTGGTGCCTGCTGTCCTCCGTTCTCTCTTGATGCTCAAAGACAGTTTTGGTTTTAAATGAAAATTTTCTTTTTTTATATGCAGAGAGAGAATTCCAAGGCTCATTTTGTAGCTGATTTTGGAGGGGGGGGAAAAAAAAAGCAAAATTGCACTGGAGAATTTGGCACTTTGCTTGTTCAAATTGCTTTTAGAAGCGCTTTATGGTAACAGGCTCTGAAAACCAAATCTTACTTCTTTTAGGTCTTTTCTGAACGCATGCTCTTCATTCCAAGATACAATGCTTAAGCTTCTGCGTGGAAAATCTTCTTCATTGTTCAATTCAGTGTTTTGGATCCATAATCTAGAAAATTAGTATTTACAATTATTATAGAACTTTTTCCAAGGGCCACCACCCATCAATAATAGCAAATATAAATAGCAGCAAATATTTTTAATAGCAAAATATCCTGTAAAAGGTGCTACCAGGCCTTCCAGTCAGCAGTGGATCTGTGTATATCACAGCCGTTATTATTATTATGGGTTACTTTTCAAGCATGGGGAATGGAGGGCATTCACAATTATCACCAGTACAGAGCACAGGGGTAGCAAAGGACCAGGCATTTTCATCACCTACTCACCATGAGAATTTCTGAAATGTGACGCTGTGGATACACAGGAGACAAAAATGATTTCTTGCCTCTATTCCAGGACCTGCAAACCCTTGAAGTAGTGGATGCCTGTGAGCCATGTCTACCTGCCATTTGCTTTGGAGTTTTTCCTCTCTTTTTTTGTGAAGAGGTTCTAGCCACTTTGGGCTATTCAGATTCAGGGCAACCAGCTATATCCATGGTTTCAAAATTTAATTTTGAGGATGCTTAAAAAACTCGGCTCCTGGCAGCGACTGCCACCACTTCTGACAAGGTAAAGCAAATCTGGAAGCACAGAGAAGCTGCTGCTCTCTGTCTCCTATGGCCAGATTTGAAAAGGTTGCCTACGGAGGCAACTGATGACCTAGCCAAGCACTAGGGGCAAATCCCCAGCTGTTTTATTTTGTTAGAGGCCTTTGGTGTACGCGATCGAGATGCTGACACCTTCCCTGATGGGAAAGCATCAAAGAGCAGTGGAAGAGTCTGGGTCAGAGCAGCACTAGGCCTTAGCTAAAACCTAGGGAACGTAGGATGTTGTCATTCATGTGTAGAGGGCTTCAGAGTTCCTCCAGCATCCTCCTCTTCCTCTGCAGGTATGGGAAGGTGAGGTTGGGCTCCTACACTGGGATGGGACGTAAGGGAACGACATTTGGGATTTCTTCTTCATAGAAATCTACAATAAAACCTAGGAACTGCTGTCACCATGGGTGGGATGCTGGTAGCTATCACCAGTGTGTCTTACTACTGCTGGTGGCAGGAAAATTATGTTGGAAATTGTGATGCAAACAGCCCATAGCGTTGGTATTTCAGAACCTGCTTCTGGGAAGATTTTAATGGCTGTATTTCAACTTTAAAATGTCTAAATGGTGTGTGAGCAGCCTAAGGAAGCATCCACTAACTTCTAGAGCTCTCTTAGAAAAACACCAAAGAGAAGGGCAGATTTAGGTTGGACATGGGGAAAAATTCCTTCCCCACAAGGGCTGTCAGGCACTGGAAGGGGCTGCCCAGGGAAGGGGTCGAGCCTCCATCCCTGGGGGGATTTAAAAGCCGGGCAGAGGAGGTGCTTAGGGCCAGGGTTTAGTGGTGGGATGGCAGGGTTAGGGGAACGGTTGGGCTTGGTGATCTTAAAGGGCTTTTCCAATCCAAAGGATTCTGTGGTTCTAGAAGGGCCACGCTAGGGCACCTTCTGAAGTGCTCTGCATTCAGGAGTTGAATGTCGCAGTTCTGTGGATTTTCCAAAAGCCCTGCATTTTACTGGTTTGTCCATCCCTCTAACGAGAACAGCAGCGAAGAAAACACTAGAGTGTGCAGATTCAGAGATTTTTATAAGGCTGGAAGAAGACCACTGAGATTATGAGGCTTGGTCTCCAGTAACACTGAATGCTAATTCCTCTTTTAATAGCAAAACATCTTTTAGAAAAACATCCAATCTTACTTTTAAAGCTGTCAGCAACAGAGAAATAAGCCTCTGTGAAAATGTCTAATGATGAATTAATATACAAAAAGTTATGGTTTATTTTGAATATTAATTAGTCTAGATTTAAATTCCAGCTGGCCTCAATTTTTTTCCATGATGCTGCATCAAAGATACACACTTCTACAGGCTGCAGCACTGACAAATCCTCCCAGGGGTCTGCAAGAAACCAGCTGGGGCTTGACAAAGCCAGGGCTGAGCCAAAGCTTATAAATCAGACCATCCCTGCTCAGGCTAGTGGCTCTGTACAACGGTTCCCTGCACGCATCACAATATTCTCAATATCTGGGCTTAGGGAGGTAGCTCAGCTGCCTTTTCCCTTGGTTACTGGAGGGCTGACTGAGGGCTGTTGCTGTCCCAGTACCCAGATAACTGATGGGAAAAAAGTGTGGCCCAAAAGATAGTGGAGTTGCTCATCCCCCAGTGGCTGTGTTTCAGAAGGAAATGAGAGAATTGGGCTCCTTTCAAAGGACAACACTGCTAGGTCAGATGAAAGGACATGATAGGCCAGGAAAGAAAAAGAAAGGAGAGAATTTTTATCTACCTGTATTCATCAGAGTGATAAAGTGCCTCTAAGAGGGAAGGGATCTGGTACTCCTCTGCTTCTTGACAAAAGAGAGGCCATTCCCTGTATGGCATAAGTAAAGTGAACTTTAAAATCACTATGAAAATCTTAACACATCTTTTCCAATATATTGAAATTGGGGAAGCTCAGGCAGTCACTACACAAAATGAAAGACGCATTCACAGAGGTGATTTTTCCTTTACCAGATGGACAAACAACCTCATTTTAAATACTGAAAAGTACCCAAAACATTTTTTTTTCTGTTTCACATCTGGCACTCAAATGTTGAGAAAAAGAAATAATCTGGTTTTATTGAAATTGATAGAAATATTTCCATTAACTGCCATTGACTTCCACAGAGTCTGAACTTTATGTCAGGAATCCCAAAAACAGATGGCATGCTTTTGAGAAGGTGCGACCAAAGTAAACGAGCTCCTAAAGCAGAGGCGCTCAGCAGCGGCACCCCTCCACATCTTGTGAAACTTGCTATTTTCTACACTTTTTCCAGCTATTGCCCTTCTACGAGTTAAGTGAAAACCTCTGCACCCTCTTTTTTTTCTTTTTTCTTTTTTTTTAATTAACGATGGCTATCGATGATAAAAGCCGATTCTGAGAAACAAGAATCCTGCTCTGCTCTGTGACACTCATGACACTTTTCTCCTGTGGAAAATTCACCATGGCATTTTCTGTAGGGATCCCCATAAAGAGGGTTTGTGGGTTCGATGAGGGGATCCACTGTGCCCAGAAAAACCCTTAGCCCTAGAACTTGATTAGTTCTGCCAGAAAGCTGTTAGCGTCGTGCTTGGTCCTACCCAACTGACACCCTCTCCAACAATTCCCGGGCATGGTTTGTCTGTTCAGATGTTCCTGGAACTGTTTGCAGCAGACAGGAGGAGCAAAGCCACCATCTCCGGGCAGGTAAAGCTGAACACCAGCAGAACAGCAGCTGGCCTCAGTGACCAGAAACATCCCCAGACATAGGTAGTTTGCTTGTGTAGAAATAACTATAGTGTCCGACGTCTGGCTGCCTATGCCTTTCATGTCAGACGTGAACGCAACCCATGGTTATGATGTCAAAGAAGCCACTGGTGTAACATTTCTATTGGCTTTGAGGAAAAGAATGACAATACAGACTCCTCTTGGAAACAGCTAAATGTGCTGAAAATGACCGCATCAGCTAGTCATCTGTAGCAGATCTTCTGCCTGCTAGAAGCGATCCAAGGACCAAGGACTTCAAGAACTGAAGAGACCAAATCTCCTGATGCCAGGCAGACCGTGATTGCTGAAAGCAAAAAATGGTAACTTGCAGTGGTGGCAGAAGGGGGGAAACTGCTACACGGAACCATAGCGCCAAAGGGTCAGTTGCGAGCAATCTCGGGGCACGTGAAACACATCGAAGGAATATCCTTAGGAGACTGGTGGTTTAAGCCACCTCAATTTCTGACGATTGATAAAGTTTAAAGGCCTAATAGATTGATAGGGATATGGAGGGAGAGTCCCCTCTCCTCTCTAGGCGCCCCGCGTTCCTCCATTCCTGTACCACTGCAGTTTCCTGTTTTATTTTTCAGCGTTAGAACAGAGATACCAGTAGAGGGCGCAGATGGAGTATTTTTCAGCTGGACTAGCCAAGACTTTGCTGTCCATGCTGTATAAAAAGCCAAAAAAAATCTGAAGAGGGATGCAGCGATCTCACCGATAAAAACATTTTCCTTTTGCTAAAGGTGTGCACACAAGGCACCGATCTGTGATAAACCCCACCGTGCAAGTGTCTGGCGTATCAATCATTAAAATTGAAGCATGCACACTGAAACAAAAACGTCTCTCAATCTCTAAATTCCAATAACTTCTGTTTAGATAGAACAGTTTACTTCAGGACTAAAAAAGAAAAGTCTTCATTCTTTTGGGTAATATTTCCATGAAAATCAGAAGACAAATCCCCCTGCTTGCTTCCCCTGCAGCCGTCTAACAATATAAAGAGGCACATGGATTCACTCTACTTACTTAAATTCAGCTGGCAAAAACAATTTCCCAAGTCTTAGGAAGTTGAGAACATGCCGAAACATCTGCCCGTCTCCGTGGATTAGAAGGCTTCGACCATACGTGATCCAACAGACTTTCTTGTCATTTGACAGCAGTTCTGGGTACTTCAGAAATAAGAAATACATTAAGACAAGGCTTCTGGTGTTAGTTACAGGAAGATGGAAATCCAAACAGGATTTTCCCTTTCTTAGTAAAAGAATTGCACCAGTTCTATCAAGTCTATTTATCTTATTAGTCAAAACATGTATATTATTAGCCCAGAAAGTACTGTCTTGGGAAGTGCAGGATTTATTTCCCTCAGGTACTCAAACATACTTCCCTTAGTAGAAAATGCTCAGTCTACATGTGAAGCTCTGATAATTCCAAGTTTTCGGGTCAAAACCATTTTAATAATTCTTACTGCTAGAAATATAGATTCTAGTTTGTAGAACTATAAGTTCTGTCTAGGAAGGTGCATGTGAAGACAACTGATTACCCATACCTTCAATAAAGTCTGTAAAGAAGTTTCATACCAGCTGCTTCCTACATAAACTTTCACAATCTCATGGAGCGAGTACCCGGATACTTCTGCTGTCCAGTCCGCATCTAGAGATGGAGTAACAAGAATGAAAGGTGACAACTAAAATAACTGCAAGTGGTCATTATTTTGTTATAGATACCAAGCAATGTGGGATTTTATATCAAAATATTGTGAATAAATTTTTGAAGTAATGAAGTAATGAAGCGTACTTTGTACACACAGAGCTGGCACGCTCCCGGTTTGGTTAGGGGTCGTATGCAACCGCAAGCAGAAGGCAAGTCGGGGTGTAATGTCACAATAGCAACGTGGTCCATCCACGCTGCAGCCAAACCACCTCCCCTCTCTAGGATAAAAAAATAATATTAGCAAGGCGGCTATACGTGTTAGCATAGCGATGTTTGCCCTGCCGAGCGGGCACATTTACGTCACCTGAGGTAGGTGAATCCAGGTATACATTGCCACAGAAAGGAATAATTTACTTCTAAAGTAGTAGAAATAAGGGGGAAATCTGAAAGGTCTTTGAAAGCGAAGACTGGGCTTGTCAGGAAGCGTAAAGCTAGTGGCATTCCAGGGCAACCTGGAATAGAGCTACTGCACCGTTTCCCATCCTCACGAGGAGCCCCGCTTCGTTATTTCCTTTGAAGATGACAGTATCAGGGCAAGTACAAGCCTCAAAGAGTGATTATGCACACAGAGCAGATCTAATATAACAGCTCTGGATATATTTTAGTCTGGGTTCAGCCCACACCCTACCTTAGTGTGGCAACAAAAATCTGGGAAAGTTTCTGTTGAAATAATTAACGATACAGTTCACATTGCTATTTATAGTAAGTCAGTCCTGGGACACTGGTTTAGGAAATACAAAATACATTTGTATTCAAAAGAAACTGTTAAAAAAACCCACAACCTAACTTTGAAAAGGGCTCCAATGTGAAGAGTTTCACAGAATCCCAGCATGGCAGGGGTTGTCAGGGCCCTCCGGAGATCACCCAGTCCAACCCCCCTGCTCAAGCAGGCTCACCCAGAACAGGGTGCACAGGACACCGTCCAGGCAGGGTTTGAACATCTCCAGAGAAGGAGACTCCACAGCCCCCCTGGGCAGCCTGGGCCAGGGCTTGGTCACCCTCAAAGTCAAGAAGTTCTTCCTCCCGTTCAACTGGAACCTCTTCTGCTTCCGTTTGTGCCCATTGCCCCTTGTCCTGGCGCTGGGCACCACTGAGAAGAGTCTGGCTCTATCCTCATGACACCCACCCTTAAGGTATTTGTACGTGTTGATGAGATCCCCTCTCAGCCTTCTCTTCTCCAGGCTGAACAAGCCCAGCTCCCTCAGCTTTTCCTTGTAGGGGAGATGCTCCAGTCCCCTCATCATCTTTGTAGCCCTCCTCGGGACTCTCTCCAGTAGTTCCTCACCCTTCCTGAATTTGTGAGCCCAGAACTGGACTTGTTTCTTAGAACAGCCCAGGCCTTTTCAGAAGATACAGGCAAGCCATGCTCTTAAAGAAATTATTTATAGGGCTATGGATAAATACATAAATAGATTCTACTATGTCTAAACAATGAACAAGCTGGCACAGGTTTGCCTGATGTAGCTACTGCAATGGCACTATCCATCTTCCATAACGTATGTACAATTGAAGTATCATTTGCTGCTAAGACCCTTGCGTCACCAATATTTTCCTAGCATGTGTTATCCAACAGGCTACACACTGATGACACAGAATTCCATAACCACAGCTTCAATTTAAGATAAAGCCCTCTTTCTCAAGGAGGATAATTCCATCTACGAATTGGTAAGATTCTCTCCTTTCTCGTGAAAGACGCTGATGGTTCAAAACTGGAAGGATAAGCATTCCCTACAGAAAAACTCAGAGGACCTTGAGGGTGGAGTAAACTGGAAGTAAAGGCCACAACTACAAAATAAGAAGTCAGGCTTGCAAATAAACAATAGTAATTACAGCTAGGATCCTACAAGGTGAAGTTTGAGCCAGAAAGGTGGTGCTCGGATGGGGCAAAGGGATGTCCATGCTCATCAATCACAGAGACTGCCACTGATGGAACAGGGAACTGCAGATGAGACTGTAGGACGTACCAAGGGAGCTAACTCTAGCAGAATTAGCAGTAGCGTAGTCTAAAATATTGGGGAGGTTTCAACTGGATGATGTACAGAGCATGATGAAATTCATCTTTTCTAGAGCACATGGCAAGGTGGAAAGAACTGGCTGTGTTCAGCCTTAGGAAGAAGAAGTTAGAGAAGGATCTTAGAATCATGGAATGCTTTGGGTTGGAAGGGACCCCTAGAGGTCATCTAGCCCAACCCCCCTGCAGGGAGCAGGGACACCACTAACCAGATCAGGTTGCTCACAGCCCCGTCCAACCTGGTTTTGAATGTTCCCAGGGATGGGGCCTCCACCACCTCTCTGGGCAACCCATGCCAGGGTTTCACCACCCTCATTGTAAAGAATTTCTTCCTTCTATCCAGTCTAAACCTACCCTGGTTTAGTTTAAAACCATCACCCCTTGTCTTGTCACAGCTGGCCCTGCTAAAAAGTCTGTTCCCGCCTTTCCTATGGGCTCCCTTTAAGCACTGAGAGGCCACAAGAAGGTGTCCCCACAGCCTTCTCTTCTCCAGGCTGAACAAGCCCAACTCTCTCAGGCTGTCCTCATCAGAGAGGGGCTCCAGCCCTTCAATCATTTTTATAGCCCTCCTCTGGACCCGCTCCAACAGTTCCATGTCCTTCTTGTGCTGAGGGCTCCAGAGCTGGACGCAGGGCTCCGGGTGAGGCCTCACCATAGAGGAGTAGAGGGGCAGAATCCCCTCCCTTGACTCTGCCCAGGCTTCTTTTGATGCACCCCAGGGTAGGGTTGGCTTCTGGGCTGCCAGCGCACATTGCTGGCTCATGTCCAGCTTTTCATCCATCAGTACCCCCAAGTCCCTCTCGGCAGGGCTGCTCTCGATCCTTTCTTCCCCCAGCCTGTATTGATACCAGGGGTTGCCCTGACCCAGGCGGAGGACCTTGCACTTGGCTTTGTTGAACCTCATGAGGTTCACATGACCCCACCTATTCAGCTTGCCCAGGTCTCTTTGGATAACATCCTGTGCTTCTGGCGTGCCAACTGTACAACTCAGCTTGGGGTCATCTGCAAGCTGTCTGAGGGTGCACTCGATCCCACCATCTCCATCTAACAGGAGGAGCCAGATTCTTCTCAGAGGTAAAAAGTGCTAGGCCAAGAGGCAATGGGAAAATAGTTGGAACATAGGAAATTACATGTATGACTTTGTTTAGCACAAGGGGAGTCAACTGCTGGAACAGGAGTCCAGAAAGGCTGCAGGATCTCCATCCTGGGAGATACTCAAAGCTTTTCCTGGAAAGGTCCTGAGCAGCCCAACCTACTTGACTCTGTTCTGAGTAGAGAGTTGGACTAAATGACTTCCAGAGATCTCTTCTGGCCTAAATTCTATGAATATGGGGAAACTAGCAATCATGAAAAGAAAAATCTTTAGGTTAATCAGGGAATCATATTAACTCTTGTTAAAAAGCCACAGTAAAGGCTGATAGAAAATGCCATGATTTCTCTATAAATGCATTAGAGAAGAGGGGATAAAGCAAAGTGGAAACAGCATTTAAGTTAAAGGTGAGTTTTAGCAAGACCAAAATGTGGCTATGAATGTACTTAGGCTGGAAGTTAGAGATAGATACCTTGGTTTAACAGCAAGAGTTAGGTGAACATTCCCACATCAGAAAAGTGGGAGCAAAAGAAACCTCGCTGTCTTTAAGGTAGAACGTGTTCAGATGAAAGTAACTTGGACTGTCCAAGTTTGAAGTAACTGGCTTCAGCAAATTAGTTCAGTTGTGAACAAAACTGGCAAGTTTAGCAAGTAAAATTATCCAAAAACCCCATGAATAGTGCCCAGGTGGCCAATAAGGCCAATGGCATCCTGGCTTGTATCAGGACTGGTGTGGCCAGCAGGAGCAGGGCAGTGACCGTGCCCCTGTGCTGGGCACTGGTGAGGCCACCCCTGGAATGCTGGGTTCAGGGTTGGGCCCCTGACTCCCAGAAGGACCTGGAGGGGCTGGAGCATGTCCAGAGAAGGGCAAGGAAGGTGGGGAGGGGTGTGGAGCCCCAGGCTGCTGGGGAGCGCCTGGGGGAGCTGTGGGTGTTGAGCCTGGAGAAGAGGAGGCTGAGGGGAGACCTTATCGCTGCCTACAACAGCCTGACAGGAGGGGGGAGCTGGGGGGGCTGGAGCTCTGCTCCCAGGGAACAGGCAATGGGATGAGGGGAAACGGCCTCAAGTTGCACCAGGGCAGGTTTAGGTTGGACATGGAGAAAAATTCCTTCCCCGCAAGGGCTGTCAGGCCCTGGAAGGGGCTGTCCAGGGAAGGGGTCGAGTCTCCATCCCTGGGGGGATTTAAAAGCTGGGCAGAGGAGGTGCTTAGGGCCAGGGTTTAGTGGTGGGATAGCAGGGTTAGGGGAACGGTTGGGCTTGGGGATCTTAAAGGGCTTTTCCAACCCAAATTATTCTGTGATTCTATGATTCTAAATCCAGGACAGACTTGCTCTGTAGTTTGACTAGAACCTAAAGTTACTGCTCTAGCATTTGCTGATTGGCACCAGCAGTTAATGAAACAACAGAATAGCAGTAGGTTTTTGGCAAACACACACCATCAGTCAGAGACACCTTCAGGTTACTTTTGTCCTATAATGATCCCTCAAAAGCAGCTGTAAATCATAGACTGAATAATTGTGTTCAGGCAACATTGCTCATTCTGCTTTAAAATGAAAGAGTTCTTGAGAAATCTCAACTTACTATAGTCTCTGCTCGCTGCTGGCATCTGTTGTTTCAGGTAGCATTTTAAAGCATCCTTCATTGGCTCATATGTGGTGTCCCTTTTGTCCAAATAAGCACAGAGCTCTTGGATTTCAGAAATATTTTCAGTGAGAGGAAGTCGGCAAGTTCCCAGCCAATTCCTATCCAAAAGGAGAGGAAAAAAAAAAATCACTAAACTTTTTATCCTTGCTTTATATTGTTACTGCTTATTTTTAATGAGTGCGAGTCAGGAAATATGAATTCTAAAACTGGTTTTTTTGCACCTACTGAGCTTTACTCAGAACTTTCCACATAATTTTTTTCTATAGAGAACAATCCAACGTGGACAAATAAAGCTACTGCAGCAGAGCCATCAAATAATCACCTGCAATAGTTTGGAATAAGGCTTTTAACACGGTGTTTCTCCTACCGTTTTAAACTAACCCAGGGGAGATTTAGACTGGATAGAAGGAAGAAATTCTTTACAATGAGGGTGGTGAGACACTGGAAGGGGTTGCCCAGAGAGATGGTGGAGGCCCCATCCCTGGGAACATTCAAGACCAGGTTGGATGGGGCTCTGAGCAACCTGATCTGGTTAGTGGTGTCCCTGCTCCCTGCAGGGGGGTTGAACTAGATGACCTCTAGGGGTCCCTTCCAACCCAAAACATTCTGTGATTCACGAGCGCCAATAAGCAAGCGCAGACAAGATGCGAGGGGCAGGGATGAGGTGGCTGTTGGTCTGACCTTCCTATTATCTTTCCATTGGCCTTTACAGGCTAGGTATTACCTGTTTGTGCTAAATTTAAAGTTGGTTGAAGGTGCAGGAAGTTTTTCCATCTGTGGTTGATGGAAATACACATGGCTGAGCATCTAATTGTGTGGCAGGCTTGAACCAACTGATTCATTGCGATTTCTTATGGTTTTCTTAATTCAATTTGCAATAAGCAGGTAGAAGAAAATGGTCAATGGTTTTTAATAGAGAGTATTAACATGTGTGTTTTAATGGCTGGCTTTACGACTCACCTAGTGAGGGTCTGCATTTAAAAATAAAAATCCTTCTGTCACAGCAAAGGTATCTGACCTCTACATTTACATTTTCACCAATTTATGGAAAGAGGTGCTAACGATTCACAAAGGAGCCATTTATCCTATATGGTAGGGATTTTATTAAACCAGTACACTGGCCTGGTAAGTCTGAGCCATAACGCTAACGACATGGAGAAGTATGTTGCAAAGGATGGAGTTCAAACACAGCATTCAGAAGTCTACTTTCTTTGTTGGACTAGACGTAGCAGTACGACTTTTCTGTGGCTTCAGAAAAGCCCGTAGATGCTTTTGAAGATCCCATGCAAAGTTTTCCGAACGAATGATAAAACTTAAGTTTTAAGAACACACAATCATTAAAAAGTTTACATATGCTACTTTGGAATTTTAGGTTTATCAGCCTACAATATAACAGAAAAATGTCAACTCCTGTAATTATAGTCATCTGCAAGTTTAGCTGAAAATGAATACTACGAACTAAAGGACAGGCTGCTGAGAACAGGATACCTCTTCAGGCACAAAACCCCTTTTGAAAGAACCTTATGTTATGCTGATACTGCCTGTGTGAAGGCAGGGTGGGTACCTGGCATGCTGGAAGAGGACGCCATTGCCAGAGAGGTGCAGGCGGCTCCTGCCCAGGTCACTGCCCACATGGAGCTGGCCCAGAGCCGAATCCGGGTAGTTGGCCAGCAGCCCCAGCGCCATGGCGTAGAACGGGGACCGTGGCGGGGACCCCTCCGCCACCCCTTGCCACCCCCCGGAGCAGCTTCCTGCAAGGAAAAGAGGTCAAGACTGCACCCCAGAAGGTCAGCAGTTAACAATCACCAGCGTATTTTCCACTCTTTTCAACATTTTATGGAAATGAGTTGCTAACTCACCTCGGTGTTGATCATATTAATATAATTTCCATTTCAAACACCTGATTTCACCAGATAACATTAAAACCAATACATGTAAGAAAGAAAATATACAGCTATGTACGTTCTATTACCTCTATAAATCTTCACAGCATCTATAAGCTCAGGAATTCCCAGAATTACAACTTCTTCCTCCAAGGCATCTATGTTGGAGAAGTCATCAGGCAGCAACATCTTCCCTGAGCGAAGAAAATTGACTTGAAAATAAAAATAAAGCATAGGAAGTGTGTGTTGACGTCTTCTGTCCACTACTCAGATCTAGTAAAAACAGGTTCTTATCATTTCCTTCAGTATTTATATTCACATACATCCATCTACACAGCAGATCAAGGGACAACAATTAACTCTTGGTCTTTGAAAACATAATCCCAAAAATAAGGTTTATGGTAGAGACCAGGCACACTATAAACAATAGGGGAGGCACAGCCTGAGAGATTTAAAGGTAAGAGGTTTCTTTTTTATTTAGTTTTCTTTTTATTTTGGTTTTCTTTTTATTTGCCC